ACTTCAGAAAATCAAATCTGTTCTGAGAAAAAACTAATAAATGTTTAAAGATAGGAAATTGCCATCCCACTGAAAAACAGTCCGTAGAGATTTAAAGGCGTAGTTGTAGTTCAGTCCAACGTTTCATTTGGATTCATTTCTCCAACAGTCAACTATTTTCATAAAGAATATATATATTTTTCAAATTCAACTTTATTGTCAATCTTACTCAGTTTGTGTTTATAGACAGAGAGATCAAAAAGACGTTTAAATAAAATTATACAATTTACAGATATGTATACAAACATATATATATATATCCTATATGCACCATCATGTATAATGATGGTGTATGATGTAGAAGGAAGTGTGGTAGATAACAAGTAAATATACATACAGATCCATGTTACAGCAAAAGATGGAATAACTAAGAAGCACACAGTATAATAATAATTACATGCAACAATTAAATAACTGCTCAGCATCTCCACCACAATCCCAATCTGCTGTGTCCTGTTTTCCTCCCCTCTGCATAACACCCCATCACACATACGAAACACAACGCAGAGTCCGAGGGTGTTAAGGGTATGATTATTTAAATGTCCTCCTCTCTACTGGCCAACACGGGGAGCATATGCTGGGTGTAGAATTTTAGCGGTTAATCAGTCCAGCGACCACAGCTACAGCAAAGGGCCAGAGTCTGCAGAAACTGACCCCAAATTCTCCAGCGTGCAGTCCGCAGACACCGAACCTGATGTGCTGGTACAGCTTTGCTGTGCCTTGGTGAATCTGCAAAATCCCCTGATAAAGGAAGTAGCCAGCACCCTCACCGTTGACTAAGCCAGGGGTTCCCAAACCTTTCAGCCTGCGATCCCCGGGGGGAACATCCAGCTGGCCCGCTGCATCCGCGGAGAGGGCTTAAACTGCTGAGACCAGCCCAAAGTCACACAACGGCTCTTTTAAGAGCCACCTACACCTTTTCTAAAGAGTTACAATCCTAAGTTATTATAATGATTACACTGGTTAATATTTTACTCAGTTTACTGAACTGTGATGCATGAAACCAGAAGGGGAATTGTTGAGGTTTACTGAAGTTACAAAGATATTAATAGATATGAGTATAACAGGTCAGTGTAAAAACAAGCTTCTGTCAGTCATGAATCATTCAAACTATTTATATAACCATGTAATACAGTTATGTAGTAGTTCAGTAAAAGTAATTCTTTATTTATATGTCTTAAATATCCTTTATTTTAGAGGGGCCTGAGACTTAACATGTTCATTGCCCAAAACTGCACTGTAGTTATTGTGCATGTGACAATAAGGCCTTAATATTAGGGCTGCACGATATCAGGAACACATAACACGATAACACTTGCTATATTTGAACAAAAACGTACACATGCAGCATTATTACTTTTCCAACAACATGGGATTTATTGTTTATTAGTTAAATATCATGTGTGTGTGTGTGTGTTTATTTATATGTCCTCCTCTCTACTGGCCAACACAGGGAGCATATGCTGAGTGTAGAAGTTCTCCAGGAGGAGGAGATTTCCATGCCATGCAGGGTCTTTGGGGATGGGGATGATGATCGCCTCCTTCGTGGTCCACACAACAAAATAGCAGATACTCCGGTCTGTGATGTGCAGCTGCCCTTGGACCTGTACCTGAAAATAAATTTTGAAAAACATTTGATCAACAAAAAAAAAGGATTTGATCAGGATCTAGACTCAGTGTGTAGTTTAATTAATTAATCAATGCTCTCTACATTAGGAACACACATACCAGTGTACCAGAGGGAGTCACACACAGCTGTGCCTAGATAACCAAACAAATTGACAAGATAACCAAAATCCTTGAATCTACACACAGCAAATAAACTCAAATGACACAAAGGAGATCACACATACAGTATAGTCGATATAAAACTGTCCGCTTCAATCTGAAGAGCAACTAAAACAAAACACGGGAGTGAACCTTGTTCTTGTGAACACTAATGTTATCCACAGCATACACAGAGACCACGAAGTTCTTAAGGAGAAAACTAGTTGCTAAAACAAAACACGTTAGTGTACCTTGTTAGCTAATGTTAGCTAGCTGACATTAACGTTACACATTGCACTCATATTACTCACCGAAACCTTGTAAAGCCGGTCCCGCATGCTGGCTCTTACAGAACCGACTAATATATATATATATATATTCATATAGGTACAGCTCTCAACGTGCCCAGACTTGTAGTGATTTTCACCTCGTAAAATACTTTTATTCTCATTCTGAAAGAATGTGGTGAAATGTGCTAACGTGACGGCCATCTTTATGTTGTGCGAGACGAGAGACCTGTAGTTCACCTGTAGTTCACTGAGCGGTTTCACACGAAAAAATGTGTAACTTCACAGTTTTACGACACATTTTTATTTTTTTGACTTGCAAAATGTTCTTTTAAATTGACAAACATCATATGTGTCATTCGTGGCACAATTCAAACGGGATCAAAAGATAACCTTTCTCTCTCCATTGACTTCAATGTATAATTTTCCGCTTCCGGGGTCCCATGGAGGCTTTCGGAAGGGGAGGGACTTCGCCTCTCTATACAGCTGTGCACATGTCATCATTAACAGATGTCGTTTAAAAGTGACGTTTGAGTGAACGAGGACATCCCAATTAATACCTGAGGACTCCTCTGTCCTCGCGTCACCTCCTCGTGTCTCTCGCTCGCATCTTACGGAGGCGGAGCTCAGACGCAAGGAAGGGCAGCGAGTGAGGGAAAGGAGGAGTCGAGGAGGGGTATTGGGATGAGGCTTTAGTCCCGCCCACAGGAGATGCGAGCGGAGGAGCCGAGGAGGGGAGCCGAGGAGAGAGGAGGGGAAGCAGCAGGCGGTTAGAGAAATGAGAACTCCTTTCCTCTGAGCGGTCATTTTAAAGAGACGTCCATTAATGATGACAGGAGGCACAGCAGATGGACAGATGTGTTCATGACGACTTAAGAGGCTTCTCAATACTCAAATTTCCCCTCCTCGAGACTTAGACCCGCCCACAGGAGATGCGAGCGGAGGACCGAGGAGGTGAACCGAGGAGAGAGGAGGGGAAGCAGCAGACGTTTAAAGAAATGAGAACTGCTCTCCTCTGAGCGGTCATTTTAAAGAGACGTCCGTTCATTATTACGTGGCAACAGCTGCATCAGCTGTCGAGTGTTTTGTCGTAGCGTTGTATCTCTGTTAGATCAGCTGAATATTGTTCCCCCACATATTTACTTTGAATTCATTGAGAGTGCGGTATAATGAGACAATAACAGGCTACAGATGCGGACACACACACACAAATATATTTATATAAATATATACAATTTAAAGTATGAGAGCACTCTCATAATAACGTAACACAATCAGAGACTGGATATATCCCCCTCTCTCTCTGGTCGCTGAAATGGGGAATTGAAATTACGGGCCAAAAGTTGTATTTACAAGTAGGCCTATTAAAAGTAAGCAGAGGACACCAAACCAACTGAGACCCGTCTGTCCGCCGCATTTACGCACTGTACAACACACACCTACACACTGTACCACACACACCTACAGCTCCTAAAGCATAAGCCGTTGTGTATTTTATTATGTGAAGCAATGGTCTTAGAAAAATATCGACTCTTTGTTTGTAGATATCTACTAAACTAAAGCAAATAAAGAGAGTAGGCCTGTTATACTGAGTGATATATATTATACACACTGCTCTGCTTTCTGCATGGACCTTACAGCGGTTCTCTCTGGAAACATCGCTACGCGATTAAAGCAGTTTCTAAAATAATATCCAGGGGATGCATGCATAGCTGTCATTGGCTGAGATAAGTCCGGCCGTGCGTCACGCCTCCACCGTTCCCGGAAATGCATCCGTGGAGGAACCATCAGTGTATCCTCGGTTAGAGCTCCTCCAGAGAGCCTCCTCGACGCTCGATCCTCGGTCCTCGGTGTGCATTTAGAGAAATGAGATGTCCTTCAAAATGGAGCGCTGAAATTCATTTCCGGGTCACTACCGGAGGACCGAGGAGTCGAGGAGGGGAAATTTGAGTATTGAGAAGCCTCTTCTTATATTTACTTTGATTCATTCACAGTGCGGTATAATGAGACAATAACAGGCTACAGATGCGGACACACACACACACACATATATATATATGTGTATATATACAATTTCAGAATCAAACAGAGCACTCTCATAATAACGTAACACTATCAGAGACATATATCCTCCTCCAGAGAGCCTCCTCGACGCTCGATCCTCGGTCCTCGAAGTGCATTTAGAGAAATGAGATGTCCTTCAACATGGCGCGCTGAAATTCATTTCCGGGTCACTACCGGAGGACCGAGGAGTCGAGGAGGGGGATTTGATGAAATGAGAAAGAGCCCTAGTATAGTTTGTTGAAAATATGGGGAAAAAACATATATAGTATAGTATGTAGAAATGTTTCTATATTGTTCTATGTCAAAGATTACTACATATATAGATTACTATACTTCCGGGTTACAGGCTCTGATAATGTACACATTTCATACATTAATTATTTTAATACATTTTCTTTTGCTTAAACATGTTTTGTCCATGGAAAAAATGTAAGAAAAAAACGGCATAGTATGTCGAAAATGTGAGATAAACTATTAACTATTTTAAAAATCAGCATTCATATATAGCCTATACATTTTCTTTTCTCTTCACTATATCTGTAAAGCGTCTTTGAGCACCTGTAAAGGGCGCTAACAAATTAAATCTATTATTATTATAAATAAATGTTTACAATAAATATAAAGTAAACTAGATGAGAATAAGACCATTTCCAAAGACTATGACAACAATGATTTGCCATGAATAGCCCAACTTTAGCAGGCACAATTCACTGATAACAAACTAAACATGAAGATGGTTTATTCTGCCAGGGCCCCCCCACAGGATGGTATGACCCGTAGACGCCCCGCCCCCTGCTGGCCAGAGACGCTACATAGCCAAGGTCAGCTGACTGATACGGATGACGCAATGGCAACAGCTCACAACAACTTCGCGAGCTCACGAGATGCACAGGGAAGAGTGACTGGAGGGAATACACAGCGATAACTAGAGTTTCCTGTGATTTAAAAGGTCAGTCAATGGCCAAACGTCCACACAAACTTAACAAATAAGCAAACTAACACATAAGCGAAAAATATAAGCAAACAAACACATAAGCGAACAAATAATCAAACAAACACGGTACCGCTGTGTTAGCTTACAGCTATGCTAACGCCGGTACAGTTGCTACAGTCCGGCAGAATAAACAAACCGCTCATTGTCAAATTCACCCGAGTCATGGTCACTTCGAAAAAATAAAATACTGTGAGAAGTACCATGACATTTCATACTTTTTTTTAATCTACTGTGTGATATGTTCGCTACTGTAGTTGTCAGTGGATGAGCACTTCCGGTTTACAGGCTCTAATAATGTATAGGCCTGTCACGATCATTAATTTTGTTGGACGATACATTTTCTTGGAAATTATTGCGATAAACGATAATATTATCGGCACTGTTGTAAGACCATTTTAGACCACTGACATAATGATAATATATAATAATAATTCAAGTACATCCTCCTTGCACACATTGTCACACAAGCAAAAACAAATCTCCTTAAAACAACAGTCAAGTGTACAGTCCACTGTCCATACAAAGACCCAGATGCCTCAACAGGCCATATCCAAATCTGTTTTTCAAAGTTTTCGAGCAAGGAACACACACATGTTTGCATTGTCGGGCAAATGAAAACATGAACACATTGAGACCTTTCAGAGAGTAGTTCACAAACCACCCCACTGCATGGCTGGATATACCAATAGTGGCCAGCCTCTGCTTCAAGATATGATGATCGACGGTATTGAACGCTTTGGAAAGATCAATAAACAGAGCTGCACAACTCTGCTTTTTGTCTAAGATATCCGCAATATCATTTGCCACTTTCATTGTCGCAGTGATGGTGCTCTGTTGCTTTCTGAAGCCTGACTGATGTTTACATAGGATGTCATTGTTACTTAAAAACTCCTTTACCTGCTCACTCACTAGGCTTTCAAGAACCTTGGCCAGAACTGACAATGTAGAGATGGGTCTATAATTATTTAATAAGGTGGCCTCCCCTCCTTTTAGTAGAGGCATACTATACATAATACTATTAATCTACTTTTTGTATGTTCATTTTGACCTACTATACAACTTGTTTCATATATACTATGACGTCTTTTCTGATATTTTCATTCTATAGTCAGTACCTACTATACAGACTTCATGGTGTCTTTTTCTTCTTTTCTCCCCACAGGACTGCGAGGACATTCACCTGACATCAACGAAGACGGTGGCTTCTTGAGTTTCTGAAGAAGCCACTATACCATACGCGTAGCTGGAAAAAAAGCTGAAAAATTATCTGGAAAATCTGTCACAGCAGCCAGTGAATGTAGCGTATTGTAAATTGACTTTCAATACTTTTTTATTTTTCGAAAATCATTGTATCTTACTTCTTTCCAAATTCAGATATAGAGTGGTGCAGTGACGCATCCTAAAAGCCGGAAGTAATCTGCGCATGGCTTCCCTCGGCAAAAAAGCCATGAGATTTCTCCATAGGATCTTGGAAAATAGCTCGAAATAAGATCTGTGGGAAACCAACCTGTTTGATAAATGCACGTTTTGTTCAGCCGGATAATATCCACATGTCTACCCTACTTTTATAATTTCGAATCATAAATCTAATCGATAGATTTATGATCTCTCACTATGACCCAGAAATAAAACGGCGACTGGACGACCTGCCGGTGAACGGGAAACTTACAAGCCCCGAAATGAGCGACTACGCAACAAAAGGCCTGCAATGTTCCACTATAACAGTCACAGATTGCATCGATCTAATCGAGGGTCCTAAGGAAAACTATACTACATTGAGGAAAACAGAAGCTGACTTCATTAAACTTGTGACACTGAAAGATGATTTGATAAAAAAAACACGACATCCTTAACTGGGACGTCACTGGGTCGCGAAAGAGGAGGTTGCTAGGAGTTTGGCGATTGGCAAAGTGAATCCACCCTGGGCAAAGCCTCCCCTGTAAAGGACCTACACAACATTTTGAATCATGTGCTTGACAGGCAGATTATGGAACTGGACACTCGTTTTAAGGCGGACACATACGGGTTTATGAGAGCCGCTGCTGCATTGTTGCCTCGGTCTACCTTTGGTGACAATTAATGAATTCAGCCTGCCAGCACACACGTTCCCATCTGTGTGGAAGTTGCAGAACACAAAGTGTTTGTTCAGCAGCTAAAGAGAAAGGTGACAGCGGGCATAACCTTCCCATCACTCGTGGAGTTGCTCGACTCATGTCCCATTGACATTTTCCCTCAAATGAATCGTGTACTTCGGGCTCTCGTCTATGGCGTTATTTTTGTGCCTCTATCCTGAGCACGCAATGAAACATTTTGAGCATAGAAAATGTTATTGAGCGGCGCGCAATTTAACATTTTTGAGCACAGAAAAATATATTTTGCAAGCACAATTTACTCTAAGCCCTCTCACAAACTCCTGCTCCGCGCACAAGCAGACCGCTGCACGCGCTCTCTCTCCCTCTCCACCCTGTGCTCGCTCAAGTTGGCACTGCGTTGCAAATGTGCCACAAAACCAACCAATCGGAGAACTCAAGGAGGTCCATTCTGACTGGCTTATTTCAGTTAACATGCGTTTTAGGACATATTAAGTATGTGTGGTCTTGAACGGGCTGGGCCCACCCACTCTTTGATATCTGCCTATGCCACTGTACTATACTATGACTTTTCTGATATTTCCAAAATACTACACTATGACTATTTCCAACATAGTCATAGTATACTATGCTATTTGTATTTACATTTTGGACTATGTTGTTTTTCCTGATATTTTCCACATACAGACTTCATGGTGTTTTTTTCTTCTTTTCTCCTCACAGGACTGCGAGGACACTCATCTGACATCAACGAAGACGGTGGCTTCTTGAGATCCTGAAGAACTTACGGTACTATACTATGACCATTTCTGATATTTTTGACATACTATATACTATGTAATTTCTTCTGATATTTTCGACATATTCTACTTTGTAGTTTTTACTGACATTTTAGACATACTATACTGACTTCATGGTGGCTTTTTCTTCTTTTCTCCCCACAGGACTGCGAGGACATTCATCTGACATCAAAAGACGGTGGATTCTTGAGTTTCTGAAGGACTTACGGTACTATACTATGACTTTTCTGATATTTTCGACATACTGTACGATGTTTTCTTTGACTTTTCGGTAATTTTTAACTAAATAAAATACCACGCCTGGTGTCTACACACTATACCGTGCCTTATTATGGAATAACATATTTTTTCCAATTATTTTGTTGCGTCTTTCATAAAAAATCGACATCGTCATCTTTAAGGTCCAAAAAGCCAAATGAGCAGGTCATAAGCTCTATGAAACAATGATGTCTCAGGACAGATGGCGCAGAGGGATATGTGACGGGTCAGAAGACCTGAGGTTGTGTGTTCGAATCCTCGTGATGCTCAGTGATTTTTAAAGAGCTTTACTCAAAGTGAAGAGGATAAATGCGCCCAGAGAACAGGTCTTCATGTACATGAGTTGGTGGCTATCTGGGTTTGTTCTCGGCACTTAGGCGCCTTAGTGCGCACTGAGGCGCCTAAGTGCCGAGAACAGATCTGCTGCTTAGCATGTGCGGGGTTCGAGTCTACTAGAGGCAAGGTAGCTAATAAAATAGGTCCAAAATAGAGAAATAAAATAGGCCAACAAAATAGGTGAAAAGTAGAATAAATAGAGTTCCAAGATAGGATAGGTGACCAACTAGAAAAGCATAGAGAAATACGGGTAATGTAAACATTGAGCTCAATTAGGGGATAAAATAAATTAGTCTTTTCTAGATACTTAACTCTGACCGTTTGCACTATGACTATGTAATGAGCTTACTAAATGAAAGGTTTATCTCTCAGGTCAGATGGCTCAGAGGGATAGAAGACTGACCGTGAGACTGCAGGCTGTGGGTTCAAGGCTTTTCAGGTGCAGTTGTCTTGGATGAGACGACAACTCATGATATCTGCCCATTATTTGTATCTGTCTACGAAAATACTCGCATCTCATACTTAAGTAAAAATAATTCAGCAGCGTATGGAAATAAGTTAGTTTCGTAAGGCACAAAATGTTTATTTAAAAAAGTCACACTTAACTATGTAATTATTCAAAAGTAACAATAGTAGTCACAACATTTTTTAAAGTTACAGTTGAAAAAAGTCAGTATAGTTTGTCTTGAAAATAAGTAAAGTATATAAAACACATTTCATAAAGAAGTACGTCAGATCAAATGTAATAAAGGTCGTATGTCATCTTTTGAAATGTTATACTATGACTTTTTTATATTGCTCTTCATGCTGTACTATGACTGTTCACATCTTATGTTAAACAAACTATATACATTTATTCCTGTGTTTATGTATTATTTAATAATACATAAACACAGGAATAAATAATGATATATATAATAATAATACATGTAATAATTATAATAATATGTATTATTTAATATATTTATTAATTATTTGTATGTATTCCTGCATTTATTTATTCCTATATTATTTGGTTAATTTATTCCTATATTATTTTTGATAATTTATTCCTATATTATTTGGTTAATTTATTCCTGCATCTATTTGATCATGCCTGTGTGAGATTTGAACCCTATTTTTGTAGTCAGGTAGTGGACCTACAGTCCTTGACTCTAACCTCTAAGCTATTTTGTCTCACAAACTTTCTCGGTGAATCCCAGACTGAAGTATGTATCATTCACTAGAAAGGGCTAGGGCTCTGTGTTTTGAGGCTCAAACATGAGATGGAGATGTCAAATATGCAAAGGAACATCCAGCTCTCTCAGGTCAAATGGCACAGGGTGATAAGAATGACGGTTGGTAGCCTAGAGGTTCTTGGTTCGAGTCTTGTGCGTTCCAGATAGATTTTAAGGTGTCTTCACCTTAAGGAAGAAGTCAAATACGAGTAAAAGCCAAGAGTTCTCATCTGCTCCAATGGCTCACAGAGCTAGAACAATGGTTAGTAGACCAGAGGTTGTTGGTTCCATTCTTGTGCATTCCAGATAGATTCTAAGGTGTCTTCACCTTAAGGAAGAAGTCAAATACGAGTAAAAGCCAAGAGTTCTCATCTGTTCCAATGGCTCACAGAGATAGAACAATGGTTGGTAGACCAGAGGTTGTTGGTTCCAGTCTTGTGCGTTCCAGATAGATTCTAAGGTGTCTTCACCTGAAGTAAAAGCCGGGCCTTCTCATCTGCTCCAATGGCTCACAGAGATAGAACAATGGTTGGTAGACCAGAGGTTGTTGGTTCAAGTCTTGTGCGTTCCAGATCGATTTTGTGCGTGTTTACAGTTAGTATGCTATTGTTCCCATGTTACATGTAACTTCCTTAGCTTCCTTAATTAAGAAAGTTAGTATCCTATTCACTCCCCCCCTTCGGGGGGGGAGTGAATAGGATACTAACTTCCTTAGCTTCCTTAATTAAGAAAGTTAGTATCCTATTCACTCCCCCCCTTCGGGGGGGAGTGAATAGGATACTAACTTTCTTAGCTTCCTTAATTAAGAAAGTTAGTATCCTATTCACTCCCCCCCTTCGGGGGTAACATGTAACTTCCTTAGCTTCCTTAGCTTCCTTAATTAAGAAAATTAGTATCCTATTCACTCCCCCCCTTCGGGCGGGGAGTGAATAGGATACTAACTTCCTTAGCTTCCTTAATTAAGAAAGTTAGTATCCTATTCACTCCCCCCCTTCGGGGGGGAGTGAATAGGATACTAACTTTCTTAGCTTCCTTAATTAAGAAAGTTAGTATCCTATTCACTCCCCCCCTTCGGGGGGGAGTGAATAGGATACTAACTTTCTTAGCTTCCTTAATTAAGAAAGTTAGTATCCTATCTAACTTTCAAATAGGATACTAGCTTCCTTAACTTCCTTAATTAGGAAGTTCGGGGGGGAGTGAATAGGATACTAACTTTCTTAATTAAGGAAGCTTCCTATTGGAGGAGTGAATAGGATACTAACTCTCCTTAAACATGCACAAAATCTATCTGGAACGCACAAGACTGGAACCAACAACCTCTGGTCTTCCAACCATAGTTCTATCTCTGTGAGCCATTGGAGCAGATGAGAAGTCCTGGCTTTTACTTGTATTTGACTTCTTCCTTAAGGTGAAGACACCTTAAAATCTATCTGGAACCAACAACCTCTGGTGTACCAACCATTGTTCTATCTCCGTGAGCCATTGGAACAGATGAGAACTCTTTGCTTTTACTTGTATTTGACTTCTTCCTTAAGGTGAAGACATCTTAAAATCTATCTGGAACGCACAAGACTGGAACCAATAACCTCTGGTCTACCAACCATTGTTCTATCTCTGTGAGCCATTGGAGCAGATGAGAACTCTTGGCTTTTACTTGTATTTGACTTCTTCCTTAAGGTGAAGACATCTTAAAATCTATCTGGAACGCACAAGACTGGAACCAATAACCTCTGGTCTACTAACCATTGTTCTATCTCTGTGAGCCATTGGAGCAGATGAGAACTCTTATCTTTTACTTGTATTTGACTTCTTCTTTAAGGTGAAGACGCCTTAAAATCTATCTGGAATGCACAAGACTCGAACCAAGAACCTCTGGGCTACCAACCGTCATTCTTACCACCCTGAGCCATTTGACCTGAGAGAGTTGGATGTTCCTTTGCATATTTGACATCTCCATCTCATGTTTGAGCCTCAAAACACAGAGCCCTAGCACTTTCTAGTGAATGATACATACTTCAGTCTGGGATTCACCGAGAAAGTTTGTGAGACAAAATAGCTTAGAGGTTAGAGTCAAGGACTGTAGGTCCACTACCTGACTACAAAATAGGGTTCAAATCTCACACAGGCATGATCAAATAGATGCAGGAATAAATTAACAAAATAATACAGGAATAAATTAACAAAATAATATAGGAATAAATTATCAAAATAATACAGGAATAAATTAACAAAATAATATAGGAATAAAAAAATGAAGGAATACATACAAATAATAAATAAACACTGTAATAAATATATTAAATAATACATTTTATTATAATATTACATTTATTATTATTATATATATCATTATTTATTCCTGTGTTTATTTATTATTAAATAATACATAAACACAGGAATAAATGTATTAAATAATAAACTATCTAATACAGGGATGGGCAAATGGCGGCTCCTCTTTTTGCGGGCCCTCAGATTAATTTATAAACATTGTAATTAATTAAAATAAAAAAAATAAAAAATTTTATTTTTTATTTTTTTACTTGTAATACTGATAGACTCCTAGTTACGTCGTGAGCTGCGTACATGATTTCAAATACCGCAAAAATAATCTGTGGTGTGTTTTTATGCCTGCTGTGATGTTAAATTACCGTTTGTTATGCCTTTACAAGCTTAAAAGTTGTGACTACTATTGTTACATTTGAATAATTACATAGTTAAGTGTGACTTTTTTAAATAAACATTTTGTGCCTTACTAAACTGACTTATTTCCATACGCTGCTGTATTATTATTTTTACTTAAAGGTGGGGTAGGTAAGTTTCAGAAACCGGCTCGAGATACGCTTTTTGTTATATTCCATGGAATGCTCTTAACATCCCGATAGCAATGAATATCTGAAGTGCTTTGACACAAAATCCATTAAAAAATGTCATCTGTGGAAGCCGTAATACTGTAAAAAGTACAACCAATCCGTTTAGCCGGCCCGGCTAAACGGATTGGTTGGCCTACCTGCCTGTCAGCCTTCCATCGGGGCACAAACTTATCTCGTGCCCTCATTGGTCATGTGCGCGTTCGTGTGTGTTGGAGGAGGGGTTAGATTTTCTCCGGTTGTGTATTTTCAAATTCTAGCAATCTCGAGCCGGTTTCTCAAACTTACCTACCCCACCTTTAAGTATGAGATGCGAGTATTTTCGTAGACAGATACAAATAATGGGCAGATATCAGAGTTGTAGTCTCATCCAAGACAACTGCACCTGAAAAGCCTTGAACCCATAGCCTGCAGTCTCACGGTCAGTCTTCTATCCCTCTGAGCCATCTGACCTGAGAGATAAGCCTTTCATTTGGTAAACTCATTACATAGTCATAGTGCAAACGGTCAGAGTTAAGTATCTAGAAAAGACTAATTTATTGTATCCCCTAATTGAGCTCAATGTTTACATTACCCATATTTCTCTATGCTTTTCTAGTTGGTCACTATCTTGGAACTCTATTTATTCTACTTTTCACCTATTTTGTTGGCCTATTTTATTTCTCTATTTTGGATATTGGATATATTGGTATTAGCTACCTCGCCTCTAGTAGACTCGAACCCCGCACATGCTAAGCAGCGGATCTGTTCTCGGCACTTAGGCGCCTCAGTGCGCACTAAGGCGCCTAAGTGCCGAGAACAAACCCAGATAGCCACCAACTCATGTACATGGAGACCTGTTCTCTGGGCGCATTTATCCTCTTCACTTTGAGTAAAGCTCTTTAAAAATCACTGAGCATCACGAGGATTCGAACACACAACCTCAGGTCTTCTGACCCGTCACATATCCCTCTGCGCCATCTGACCTGAGACATCCTTGTTTCGTAGAGCTTATGACCTGCTCATTTGGCTTTTTGGACCTTAAAGATGACGATGTCGATTTTTTATGAAAGACGCAACAAAATAATTGGAAAAAATATGTTATTCCATAATAAGGCACGGTATAGTGTGTAGACACCAGGCGTGGTATTTTATTTAGTTAAAAATTACCGAAAAGTCAAAGAAAACATCGTACAGTATGTCGAAAATATCAGAAAAGTCATAGTATAGTACCGTAAGTCCTTCAGAAACTCAAGAATCCACCGTCTTTTGATGTCAGATGAATGTCCTCGCAGTCCTGTGGGGAGAAAAGAAGAAAAAGCCACCATGAAGTCAGTATAGTATGTCTAAAATGTCAGTAAAAACTACAAAGTAGAATATGTCGAAAATATCAGAAGAAATTACATAGTATATAGTATGTCAAAAATATCAGAAATGGTCATAGTATAGTACCGTAAGTTCTTCAGGATCTCAAGAAGCCACCGTCTTCGTTGATGTCAGATGAGTGTCCTCGCAGTCCTGTGAGGAGAAAAGAAGAAAAAAACACCATGAAGTCTGTATGTGGAAAATATCAGGAAAAACAACATAGTCCAAAATGTAAATACAAATAGCATAGTATACTATGACTATGTTGGAAATAGTCATAGTGTAGTATTTTGGAAATATCAGAAAAGTCATAGTATAGTACAGTGGCATAGGCAGATATCAAAGAGTGGGTGGGCCCAGCCCGTTCAAGACCACACATACTTAATATGTCCTAAAACGCATGTTAACTGAAATAAGCCAGTCAGAATGGACCTCCTTGAGTTCTCCGATTGGTTGGTTTTGTGGCACATTTGCAACGCAGTGCCAACTTGAGCGAGCACAGGGTGGAGAGGGAGAGAGAGCGCGTGCAGCGGTCTGCTTGTGCGCGGAGCAGGAGTTTGTGAGAGGGCTTAGAGTAAATTGTGCTTGCAAAATATATTTTTCTGTGCTCAAAAATGTTAAATTGCGCGCCGCTCAATAACATTTTCTATGCTCAAAATGTTTCATTGCGTGCTCAGGATAGAGGCACAAAAATAACGCCATAGACGAGAGCCCGAAGTACACGATTCATTTGAGGGAAAATGTCAATGGGACATGAGTCGAGCAACTCCACGAGTGATGGGAAGGTTATGCCCGCTGTCACCTTTCTCTTTAGCTGCTGAACAAACACTTTGTGTTCTGCAACTTCCACACAGATGGGAACGTGTGTGCTGGCAGGCTGAATTCATTAATTGTCACCAAAGGTAGACCGAGGCAACAATGCAGCAGCGGCTCTCATAAACCCGTATGTGTCCGCCTTAAAACGAGTGTCCAGTTCCATAATCTGCCTGTCAAGCACATGATTCAAAATGTTGTGTAGGTCCTTTACAGGGGAGGCTTTGCCCAGGGTGGATTCACTTTGCCAATCGCCAAACTCCTAGCAACCTCCTCTTTCGCGACCCAGTGACGTCCCAGTTAAGGATGTCGTGTTTTTTTTATCAAATCATCTTTCAGTGTCACAAGTTTAATGAAGTCAGCTTCTGTTTTCCTCAATGTAGTATAGTTTTCCTTAGGACCCTCGATTAGATCGATGCAATCTGTGACTGTTATAGTGGAACATTGCAGGCCTTTTGTTGCGTAGTCGCTCATTTCGGGGCTTGTAAGTTTCCCGTTCACCGGCAGGTCGTCCAGTCGCCGTTTTATTTCTGGGTCATAGTGAGAGATCATAAATCTATCGATTAGATTTATGATTCGAAATTATAAAAGTAGGGTAGACATGTGGATATTATCCGGCTGAACAAAACGTGCATTTATCAAACAGGTTGGTTTCCCACAGATCTTATTTCGAGCTATTTTCCAAGATCCTATGGAGAAATCTCATGGCTTTTTTGCCGAGGGAAGCCATGCGCAGATTACTTCCGGCTTTTAGGATGCGTCACTGCACCACTCTATATCTGAATTTGTAAAGAAGTAAGATACAATGATTTTCGAAAAATAAAAAAGTATTGAAAGTCAATTTACAATACGCTACATTCACTGGCTGCTGTGACAGATTTTCCAGATCATTTTCCAGCTTTTTTTACAGCTACGCGTATGGTATAGTGGCTTCTTCAGAAACTCAAGAAGCCACCGTCTTCATTGATGTCAGGTGAATGTCCTCGCAGTCCTGTGGGGAGAAGAGAAGAAAAAGACACCATGAAGTCAGTATAGTAGGTACTGACTATAGAATGAAAATATCAGAAAAGACGTCATAGTATATATGAAACAAGTTGTATAGTAGGTCAAAATGAACATACAAAAGTAGATTAATAGTATTATGTATAGTATGCCTCTACTAAAAGGAGGGGATGCCACCTTATTAAATAATTATAGACCCATCTCTACATTGTCAGTTCTGGCCATGGTTCTTGAAAGCCTATAAAATAAACTTTTAATGTTTATTTTATTAGCTTGTCTTTTTAATGACTGATTTTAAATGCCATTTTCTTAATCTCTTTCATTTTTTGTAAAGCACTTTGAATTGCCTTGTGTTGAAAAGTGCTATATAAATAAACTTGCCTTGCCTTAGTGAGTGAGCAGGGTAAAGGAATTTTTAAGTAACAATTACATCCTATGTAAACATCAGTCAGGCTTCAGAAAGCAACATAGCACCATCACTGCGACAATGAAAGTGGTGAATGATATTGCTAATATCTTAGACAAAAAGCAGAGTTGTGCAGCTCTGTTTATTGACCTTTCCAAAGCGTTCGATACCGTCGATCATCATATCTTGAAGCAGAGGCTATTCAGTATCGGTATATCCAGCCATGCAGTGGGTGGTTTGTGAACTACTCTCTGAAAGGTCCCAATGTGTTCACTTTGATGGGCTGTCTTCTGAGTGGTTAAACATTACTAATGGTGTACCACAAGGTTCTGTTTTAGGTCCACTTTTATTCTCCATCTATATCAACAGCTTAGGTCAAAATGTGGATGGAGCAACTTTACATTTTTATGCTGATGATACCGTGATGTATTGTGCATGTCCCTCCAATAAGGAAGCTGCTGTTAAATTACAGGCTGTTTTTAACATTATTCAGATGCAGCTCTCTGAGCTTAAGCTTCTTTTAAATGTTGATCAAACTAAGGTAATGCTATTTTCGAAAGCCAAAAAGACACTGGAGACCACTTTGGATATTCTTACTACGCAATGAAAAATATTTGAAGTTGTTGCCTGTTATAAATACCTTGGTATCTGGCTTGATGGTTGCCTCTCTTTTAAACTTCAGGTCAATAATCTGCTTAGAAAGCTGAGGGTGAAGCTAGGTTTCTTTTTCAGGAACAAGTCCTGTTTCTCACTTGAGGCCAGGAAAAGGCTCTGTGACCTTTTGACCTGTGCTTGACTATGGTGATCTGATCTATATGAATGCACCAACCTGATCAAGTTAGATGCCGCCTATCACAGCACACTGACATTTGCTACTAACTGTAAAGTATTAACTCATCACTGTACCCTGTATGCCAGGGCAGGTTTGCCTTCACTCACTGTACGGAGGCTCAGTCACTGGTACATGTTCATCTACAAAGCCATGTTAGGTAAACTACCATCTTCCATCTGCTGTCTGATCACACGGAGAGTTGAAAGTAGCTATTGCCTGAGATCTCATGCTGTGGTTTTGTTAAATGTGCTAAGTGCTAGGACTGACTTAGGGAAAAAAGCTTTTATGTGCGCAGCTCCTCTAACTTGGAACAGTCTGCAAAAAGAATGGAAACTGAGCAATTTGATTCTACTGCATGTTTTTAAAGCTTGGATAGATGCTATGTAATCTGATACTGTTGGTACCTGTACATGTCGTTAGCTATGCACATTGTAACCCTGTAACTATGCTGTATGATGTCCTTTTGTTTTTCTGTTGTTTTCTGTTTTTTTTCTTCTGCGGCTCACAGCCAAAGTGACGCGACAGCTCCAGCTGAAAGTGTCGGAGATTGCAACGATGCAACAGCAAGAGGCAAACAATTAGCATTATGAAAAGGTCCAAGCCTTCTGGGTCAACGGGAAGGAAACTGAAAAAAGAACAGGAGGAATCGAAAGTCAAAGACAGAGGTACGTCGGCTTGTGTAAAAAAGAAAAAAGTCAGTATGTACTGTACCGTAAGACATTTGATTTTAAGCTAGCTAGCTAGCTAGCTAGCTAAGGAGGTAGCCTGCCCATGATACAGCTTTGATGCCATGCTAGCCGCGAGCCTCTGATACAGAATGATAAATACAAATGATTTAAAGTTTTTATTTATGTGTTATTATTCTTATATAATCTTTTTGTAAATAATATACTACTTTTCTATTGTGATAGCTGTACATTGATCCTCCAATAGTGTTTAATTGGTCAGATAGTTTATTTTCACGGTCAACTTGTGTGTAGGCCTATATATATATTTATCTTTCTGTTTATTTTCTATTCTATTTTAGAATTTGTTTATTTTCTGCTCTTTTTAATGTCTAATTATTGTGCAATGCTTTGTTTTATATGCTTCTGTAACGAAATAATGTGAATGTTAGCCAGAAGAAAGCTATCTGGATAACTGCTCCTTTGTATAAAGTGAGGCTGACCAACCAATATGGGCATGTGTTATTATTTACATTACATGTCATTTGTTAGACGCTTTTATCCAAAGCGACTTACATACATTCAGTACTGTGGACAATCCCCACAGGAGCCATTTGGGGTGAAGTGTCTTGCCCAGGGACACAACGACATGCTGACTGCAGTGGGACTCGAACTTGCTACCCCCTGATTCAAAGTCCAGACATAACTTTTATATAGGCCAGTTGTGAACTTGCATACAGCTGAGGCAGATTGCAGCAGTTATTTTTGCCTGACTGTATATACATGTTTTTGCTTGTAATGTGCTAATATCTACCATATAATTTTCCAGCGGCACTTGAGAAATACCTCAAAAAGCCCCCAGTTGCTGGAGAAGGAACATCTGATCTCCCATGTACATCACACTCTGAAGAATGTAAGTTTTGCCACACATTTATGGTCTCTGTGTAATCGTTAATGCACTACTTTTTGTCATTATTATTATTGTTATTATTATGATAAATAATGAAAACTGAAGCATGAATAACAATCTAATCCAATCCACTTTATTTATATAGCACAGTTTAAAAACAGAGGGTTTGCCAAAGTGCTTCACAATGAACATAACATTATAATAAAATATAATATTACACGAATAGATAAAAAGCACACATAAGAAAAGATAAAAAAAGCACACATAAGAATAAATACAAGGCACATAAAGGCTATGGACAGACAGTAAAAGCATACAAATAGGTATGACATAGCTCAGACTGACTGGTAAGCGAGGGAAAAGAGGTGGGTTTTTAGGCGGGACTTAAAAACTTCAAGAGTGGGCGACAATTTAACCTGAGGGGGCAGGTCGTTCCAGGGGGGGCTACCGATGAGAACGCTCGGTCTCCCCTGGTCTTTTGTTTTGTTTTTGGGACTACAAGCAGCAGCTGATCAGCCGACCTCAAAGCCCTTGAGGGGGTGTACACCTGTAAGAGGTCGGAGATGTACTCTGGGGCCAGCCCATTAAGAGATTTAAAAACAAACAATAAAATCTTAAAATGGACTCTAAAATGGACAGGAAGCCAGTGGAGCGAAGCCAGAACTGGTGTGATGTGATCAAACTTGCGGGTTCCTGTAAGCAGCCGCGCCGCAGCGTTTTGTACAAGCTGCAGGCGGGCCAGCGAAATCTTATTTAGGCCGGCATAAAGTGCATTACAATAATCTAAACGAGTTGAAACAAAGGCATGAATTACACGCTCAAAGTTTAAAAAGGATAAAACCAGTTTAATTTTGGACATTAGCCTCAAGTGATAAAAACTGGATTTAACCACAGAGTTTATCTGTTTATCTAATTTAAAAGCACTGTCGATTTTGACACCCAGATTTGTGACCATGGGTTTTTCAAACTGTTGCAGGGAACCCAGGTCAATGGAAGGGACATCACCATTTGGTCCAAACACAATTACCTCCGTTTTGCTCTCATTTATATTTAAAAAGTTTAGCGCCATCCAGGCCTTTATGTCATTAAGACAGTCAACCAGGGGCATCAGAGAGGTAGTGTTTTTTCTTAGGGGTAGATATAATTGGGAGTCGTCCGCATAAAGTTGGTAGGAGACGCCATATTTTCTAAAAATGTGTCCAAGGGGGAGAAGGTATAAGGAAAATAAAATAGGCCCTAAAATAGAACCTTGGGGAACTCCACAAGATAGGGGGGCAGAAGAGGATGTAAAGTCACCAAGCGTAACAGAGAAAGATCTCTTGGACAGATAGGACCTGAACCACTCTAAGGCAGTGCCCCTGATACCCACACAGTGCTCTAGACGAGAGATAAGGATGGTGATGATGATAACTTCTTTGCATGTTTGGATTGCCTGCCTGCAGGTGAAGGAATAACGAGCACAGTATGTGAGTCCACCATTGCAGCCCCCTCAGATCCTGCTGACTGCCCAGGCCCATCTGAGTCCAACATTGCAGTCCCCTCAGATCCTGCTGACTGGCCAGCACTGAGTGATACAGTGGGAAAAGCCATGTGAACATCACATTGAAATCATGGTCTGATACCAGATGGGAGAGTCGGATCAACAGCATAGAGGCTGTAAGTAGGGATGCACGATATGGACATACCCCCGGACCCCCCTAGAGGATGTGACATCCACCCCCCAATTAAAACATGTTCATACAATGAATACATTTGAAACCTTTATGTATATTACCTATGTCAATACGTTTCTGTTTTTGTAGTGTATTGGTCTTTTGTAGAGATTTAGAAAAAAAACTTAACAAATATATAACAGAGCAGAAAGTGAAGTAAAAATGCAGTAACAATTTAGTATCTTAATAAAGAAAAGTAAACTAAGGCTAACCAAGGCAGCAGCCATTATTCACTTCAAGTGTTTAGAAATGCATCTTCTTATGCCCCGGCCACACGAGGACGAAAACGGTCGTTTGCGTTACTGTTTAGTGTCATATAGACCATTCGGCCACACGAGGACGACCGAATACGGCACTAAACGACTGCGTAAACGATAACGGGTCCCAAGGTGGATAGAACGGCATACGCAACGCTCTGGGGGGTCCAACGGCTCCGTATGTACGCCCTATACGATAATTTTCTGATAATGATGAGGCAATAGCCCCGCCTCTCCCCACCTCTGCTGCCCCCCCCCCGCGTCAAAGTAAACTGCACACTGAATTCAGATTATTTATCTTTCTCTCGATATGGACCTAAACGCGAGTGAAGTCTAATCTGACAGGACGGAGACACGCAGCTCTGCTCACCTGCAGCTCCTCCCGCTGTGATGCGGCGGTGAACGGAGTAAAATACACACTTCAAGTCAGATCATCACCCTTAGCTATTTTAATTACCTCTCAAACTACCTAAACTAGATATAAATATGTTTATTTTTACTGTCGGCCGGGTCACTCATTACTGGATCAGCTGCTGCATGAAACAGACACTGGCGCTGTCCGAAGATAGGGAGGAAAAAGAGAGGCTCCGTGTATTTTATTATTATAATATATAGAGTCGTTATTCATTTGTTTTAAAGCTCAATAAATAACAAAGAAGACCTTTGACCGGCACTTTTATAATTTTGTCGGAAGATTTAAACTTTAATACACGTTGACTGGCGAAAAACTCTGCCCGGTTCCCTCGGCCCCCACCGCGGAGAATAAACAGAAGGGCAACCATGACAACCATGCTTCTTCGCTGCTTTTGTGGAGGAAGTTACAGCGCCACGTACAGGCTCCTGCATATGTACTGCAGCTTCTCCAGCGCTTGGAGCTAAACGGAGCGGTCTCGTGTGGGCAGACACTATCCGGATGACTATTGCGTGTGGATGGAAGCTTTTTTGCGATTGCGTTTGCGTTAATCCTATGCGTTTAGCCGTTTAGCCGTTTTCGTCCTCGTGTGGCCGGGGCATTAATTCAACTAGTGTATTACCGGTACAAGTAGGCACACCATAAATTAATAGATACAAATAAAACCATAAATACAAATCAAAACTGGCCAGGAGGGAACAGAAACATAATACAATAAAATAGCTTTCAGTTTTGTGCATCACAGCAACAGCAGGTAGCCCCCCCCCCCACAGTGTGTGGGCTATTTTGTCACCTAGAACCACTGGTGTCTTTGACTCTGTCAAACAACTCTCCACAGAGGCAGGGGCAAGCACATCTGTTATTATGGACGCTGCTTTTGTACGACCACATGACATTTTCTTTACTATCTCAGAGTCTGGAAAAATGGTCGGCGCTAGCTTGTTACCAGTCATTTGACCGGTATGATTAGGAGTGTTGCAATGTATGGTAAACACTGGTTATTTCTGCTGCTGTTACCTTGTCTGAGTGGCCATCATTTTTTGGTTTGAGTAGGAATGTCTCCATAGAGTGGGATGTCTCTTTATGAGCAAACACGTTTTGTGAGAATCGCATTCTCGGTGTCTTCTTAGCTGTAGTTTCAGTTTCCTCCATTTTCCATAACCTACTGCGTCGCCTGCGTTCGTTGTTGTTGTTTGGCGGGGCCGCGGGGGGAGCACCCGCCGTGTGTTACAGTTTGATTGACAGCAAACACAGCCCCGTGATGATAGCCTTCCCTGCTTTCTCAACAGCCATTGGATGAATCTGATTTTAAAGAAAAGCGTTTTAGCCAATCAAAATGAAATATGCGGGACATCTTCTCAATTTGCGGGATGCACCAAAAGTCGTGAAAATGCTGTGCAGTCCCGCGCAAAGCGGGACATCTGTCCAGATGTGTGTGCGTAGATGTGACCACCCTACGCACACACCAAGTGGGGTATAACCACCCGTTGGAACGACTTATGACCATTTCAAGTTTTCAAAGTCCAATTGCAGTAACAAGGCATACCGCCACGGGGCCCACATTTCACACACATGTAGGCCCGGGGTCTAAGCTATCACCCAGACCAGGTTCTATAGGGATGCCCACCGAGTTTGAGGCAAATCCCGTTTTCCTTGAATAACTTTTGACAGGAAGCTCGGATAGGATCGGGACAAATTTTTAGCCACCCCCTTATATGAAAACACACCCAATGATTACGTATTCCGCATCCAATGGTACCAAACAACGTGTCATTTGGAAGATGTTTTCAGCAGCGTCAAGGTGTGGGAGATTTTTGTTGGGCAGAAAATCTCTCAAATGTGACATTTTTCAAAAACACCTTCCGAATGATACGTTGTTTGGTATTGTTGGATGCGGAATACGTTAACATAGGATAGGTGTGATCAAATAGGTGGGGGCTACAAATTGGTCCCGAACCCATCCGAGCTTCCTGTCAAAAGTTAAAAGTCCAATTGCAGTAACAAGGCAGACCTACCCATAGACCACACACAGTTTTGATGTGAGTAGGCACATAACATTAGTCCCACCGTTCAGGGAAACAGAGGTAGACACATACTTTAATGCCTTTGAACGCATCGCTGGTATGCTGCAGTGGCCTAAGAGAGTGTGGCCTCTGTTGTTGCATTGCAAATTTGTAGGTAAAGCTCAGGAAGTTTGCAATGCCCTGACCGCTGAGGAGAGCTTAGATTACGAAATTGTTAAGACCACAGTCCTTCGAGCGTATGAGGCATACAGACAAAAATGTAGGAGTGGTAAAAAGACAACCAGACCTACGTAGAATTTGCGAGAGAAAAAGGTGGCCTTTTTGATCGGTGGTGTCAAGCTAGCAAAGTCACGTCCAGGGAGGACATGCGTGAGCTCATTCTTTTGGAAGAGTTTACAAATCAACTGCCTAAGAAAATTGTCACCTATCTAAATGAGCAGAAAGTTGTGTCACTTGCTGCTGCCACGGTACTGGCAGATGAATTTGTGTTAACTCACAAAAATATTTGTTATCTTCCAGTTTGCCGTGATCCTGTGGCAAGTGACAGAAGGGTAAAAGCTCCTTCCCGTGGTAGCGCCAAAACAGCTGAGAACAGGGAGTGCTATTACTGCCGTGAGCAAGGACACCACATCGTCGACTGTCCTAGCCTAGAAAGGAAAGAGCAGTACGCAGGTAGAAAAACGCCATCCCCTATAAATTGTATTCATACCCAAACCGCACTCTGTAAAGAACGTTGCATCAAACGTGGAGGATAGCGCTATTGATGAGGCGTTCAGGCCTTTTATTTCGCAGGGTTCTGTGTCTTTGACACGTGAGGGAAAACAAATTCCCATCACAATTCTGAGGGACACAGATGCTAAGCAGTTGATTATTCGTGGTGGTGTCCTGCCGTTCTCAGCATGGGGGGTTAAACTAAGTGTTTTGCGTGCGCCCTTGCATTTTGTTCAGTTGTCGTCCAAATTTATTTCTGGTGTGGTTAAGGTTGCCAATTAACGGTGTTGATCCTTGGTAATGATTTGGCTGGGAAGAAAGTTTTTCCGTAACCCGAAGTTGTTAATGATCCAGCTGTGATCACATGTGTGTCTGAGTCCACTGAGCTGGATTCGGTTCAGCTGTTCCCTGTGTGTGCTGTAACTCGTGCGATGTCCCGAAAACTAGGTGACGTAGTGGATCTGAGTGACTCTTTAATGAGTGACTCCGATCCACTTAACCCACTGGCTGAGGGTCAAGGGAAAAAATCTGTTTCCATCGAGCTTCAGCCTGACGACAAACCCCTTCAACTTTCAGTAGATGACTGAGATAAGTATGGTTGGTTGTAACCGTCAGCTTTGGTAGGAAAAGGTAAGTGTACATCCTTTAAATTCTGTTTTAAGGCTACTTAATGGTGGTGGTTGTACAATGTCTTCAGCAGGTGACAACTGAGGTATGAATCCTTCTTCCAGCTCCATGCGTGGCTGGCCCATTTCACGTGAATGTTGGGGGTGAGCACTTTGTTTCAGTGCGTTTTATTCACGGATATAGTCACTGATGCGTTCCATTTTATTTTCAGACTGGTGCTCGGAATTCATCTTTAACTTTGAAACCGTCTGCCATTTTCAAAACCTGTGCTTCAGCTACTGCGGCACACTGTAGATTTAATACTTCTAGTTCTGCGTCTATTCTTGTTTTTTCTAACTGTACTTCAGCATCTCTCCTAGCTGACTCCAGCTTTAGTTTTAGTTGTTGTGATGCATAAGCTGCTCTAACCTTGGCTGCTTCTGCTTTTGCACGAGCATTTAGTTAATGAAGAGGTTGAAGATCTTCCTCCAGAGGTTGATGATTTCCCACTCTTTCTGGAAGCCATTTTAATCCTTTGTAAAAACTGATCTCTACTGTCTTTTCACTATAATGTTCTTATCCGGACGTAAGAGCCGCAGACTTAACACAACGTTAAACTCCACTCAAAATGAAGAAAAAGAGTCGTTGTCGTAGTTGGGAAACTTTACTGGTAACTCCTTCACCATGACATGAAAACTGTAACAATAAATACAGAATGCAAAACGATCTTAGTCTTGTGTTGTCTATTCAAACACCCTTAGTTGCATTGTAAATATATACAATATAACATTACATGTTTCTTAAACATCTTTCCATCAAATAAGCATTGATATAGGAACTACAACATGTTAACAATGAAATGTAATCACTTACGACATTGATTGATCAGTCTTTTCATGCAGATGCAAATGGCTCCTAACAGTGCCTAAACATGTGGCCTCCTTGAGTTTCTACAATTTTCTAACAGCATGACAGGAAGTGATGCAAGATTGACAGGAAGTGATACATTCAAATAACTTTATGAACAGTGTCAAATAAACAAACATTACAAGTCACCTGAAAGGTGCTGCAAGCAGTATTTTAACTTTACAAATTATATGAAGTGTTTTTGAAAACACCACATTAACATTTAAAGCTGACTGCGGCTGGTCCAGGAAAATGTTGAACAGCTCCACGTTTACCTCCTTGGCAGCCATGTGAAGACACGTCCTTCCACTTTTTTGATCCTGCACAAAACAATGCAAGCTTCAAAGTAATGCGACAAGTGTGACATGTACCAAAGTCAAATGATTTGAATAGTTACCTTCGTCCCACTGGAGGCTCCCGTAAGCAGGAGAGTCTTGATGTATGTGTGTGTGCCCTCTGCGCTAGCTCCTTTGCCATATATGAGCACAGATTCCCCAGAGTCCTCAGCTCTTTAACCACAGCCTTGTGAGACAAGACAGCTGCATGCAATGGAGTTAAACCTCAAAACAGAGAACAGCAGGATTACATCACAAGGACATTTCATACAAACCAGCTTTAAACTTCAATAAAACATACTCACCATCATAGTTGAACATTTCAATATCCACCTGCTGACACTGGTCAGACTGAATCAACCCGGCCTCAGTTTTAGAATAAGACTAAATCAGGAGAGTCGATGCATGAGAAACACTTTAACAGAACATGCTCCGATTGTGGTTTGTGTACTTATGGCTACAAAAAAACCTGGCAGGAAATTAATCTAGCGTTAAAGATACAAGCCTCATTTTATCATCATGATTTAAATAGTGTTGTTTGCATGCTGGCTTTTTAACTGGCTTTGTATTCCATTAGAAACACTAGGAAACCTTTGCACAGTGGGATTGTCCCATAGAAACGTCTCGGGATCATTCTTCTTGCAGCGTGGTTCGAGGCAGATAAACAAAGTTACTTATTGTTTCCCACCTTCACAGCTCTGCCCATAGTGTCGCCATTTAGTTATTCTGCTGTGATCAAAGCGCTGGCATTGTAGAGAAAGGCACATGGGGAAGAATCTTAAAATACTTTCAGACAGTTAATTAGCCTCAATAGGCTATAAAACATATAGAGCTGAAAGCAAACATTAGACATTCACTTCATACCTGTAGACATGTTTTTGTTAAGGTGTGAAACTATTCCTTTAGGTAAAAGTAAACTGGATAGCAACAAAAAATGACAGTTTAGAATCAGAAATCCTTTATTCGTAGCACCTACAGTAGGGGAAATGTACATTGTTAAAGCAAAAAGGCATGCACATAATAATAACAAATAAAATAAGTGCACATTTAGGTAGAAAAAGACCAGACGCAGTATTATACATGTCACGCCCTGGCTCAAGGACGGACAAAGGAAGGAGACCACACATGATTCATCCAATTGAAGTGCATTTATTTAAAGAAACTAAATTAACTATGAAGTCAGTTAATCAGTAATGTGTGTGGGTGTGAACATGCATCAGTATATAGCGAAAGCACAACCAACCCAAGGTCCAGTAGAGCCAAGCAACCCAAGAGGAGAGAAAGACTGACTGCTCAGGCACCCATACTTGTAGCTGAGCAGTCAACCCAAATCAGGTGTCAGCAATCTCTCCTGATTTGGGGAGTGGCTAACCAGGGACCTGAGTCTAAGGCCTAGGGGCCGTCACATACAAAATAAGGATGAAACATGTAGAACGTGTTATAGCAGCAGATAACCTAAAGACTTCCTTACAGATGTATGTTACAGTATTAAAGAGGACATTATTGTGTTCATTTTCATGTTCTTTTTTGTATTTTGTGCCTACTGTCTACTCTACTGTAACATTTTTACATGCTTTAATGTTCAATAAGGTCTTTATTTTTTTCATACTGTGATGTCTACAGAGTACAGAATGTATAAGGATTGACACGTTAATTTGAATCCTTTTCTCTTCCAGGATGCAGCAGCGATATAAATAAAGCCAAATCTTTTCCCCACAGGTTAGAGTACTTGATGAGTCAGAGTGCTGTTAAAGAGTCTAAAGAAAGCTCGAGGCTCCCTTTGGCCATCTTGTTTTCTGCCAATGCTGTGACATAAAACTGCATTCTAATCATTTGTGCCTGCGTGCACTTAGAAAGCTGCCAGATGTTTTTATCCAGGCCGACATATTGCCATAAGTTGTGTGTGTGTGGGAAAAAAAGGGGGGGGGGGGGGGTTCCTAAGCTCTGTCACTTTTGCCCCAAATGAAATCAGTTTCACTTCATTACAGTGTCACAGCATAATAACCTCCAAGAATAAAAAGTGTGTGTCATGAGGGAGCAAAGTGGAAACCGTCGCTGCAGTGAGGGCAGATCAGGCTACAAGCACACAGATGTTTTGTTTATTCCTCTGCCTACACACACACACACACACACACACACACCAGGTGAAGAGTATTACTCACTCTGGCAGGTATACCATGCCCCCCCCCATGGCCTTGTTACTTGGAGCTGTATGCTCTGTGCCCTGTGTGACATGTCTTCCACTTGAAGAGCCAGGCCAATTGTCTGTGCATGGATAGGTAGGTGTGTGTGTGTGTGTGTGTGTGTGTGTGTGTGTGTGTGTGTGTGTGTGTGTGTGTGTGTGTGTGTGAGCTGCAAGCATTTGGAGAGAGGATGTAGGCAGCTGTTAACCCAGTTTTATTCTGAACTCGCCATGGTTCAGCACGGCATAATTGCCTGTGCAAAGTAAGTGTGTGTGTGTGTGTGCGTGCGCAAATGCAAGTCATGGATCACTGATCACTTACCAAAACCTTCAGTTTACTGTTACTTCCTGCAAGAGATGCTCCATTTCTTTAATTATTTATTAGTTTACAAAAGTATCGATGTCTGCGTGTGGAGGTTGGTTATTGATTTAAATATGGACACAGCTGAACAGTCCCAGCATACTCGCTGCTAATGGGACAAATACAAAATCATGTTGCCTCGTTCAAAATAAAAACATTGCATTTGAGTATGTTTCTATTCTCCAGTTCTAAGATGCAGAGAGAAATCCAGACTCCTCAGGAAATCCAAAGTGAAACGCTGTCATCTGCTGGACAGACTTCGCCCTGCACCGCAGCTCCATCGCAAGGCATGCTGGGAATGTAGTCATGAGTACACACAAAAAAGCACACATCTTCTGTTAGAACATATTTCGATGAACAGCCACCTATTCATGTTGAGCAACAAGTGCTTAATGTTGCTTATTATTTTCTGTTTAGCAACAAATATTACTTCAGTTATCTGTTGTCTTAATCACAACATTGAAATGTGGCTAGCTTTATGATTTATGATTCTAAACTGCACAGTATGTTTCTAATTATTACCACAGCAAAGTAAATATGTTCATATATTTGTATCCAGAGCTAAAGTCAAAAACATCATTCATTTGTGTGCATTTCGAAACATACAGTAGTGCTAGAAAAGTTAAATAACCACTGCATTTCAGTAAATATTTAAAATACTTGTACTTCAACTGTGTATTTCCAGATTATGCTCCTTTATGGCTTTACTCCACTCCATTTATTTGTACAGCTTTAGTTACTTAAAAATCATCATTTAACGGATAAATAATGATGAGTACATAGAGTACTTTAACTTGTAGTACTTTAAGTATATTTTTGCACTTTATGTAATATTTGTTTTACCTGTATTTGAATGTAAAGGTGCCTGTCATTGTAAAAGCATAGTTAACGGGGCACGTTGTTGCACTGAATTGTGGGTAGAGAGGGAGAGGCGCACCCGTTTGGATGAAAACAATTCAACGGTCTTCCGGATTGTGTGGATGAATTGTGACATACAGGTAAGCACAAACACTTAAACTAGTAAAACAATTTAAAGTAGCATTACTGTAAGTTACAGCTGGTTTTTTACGTTACCTTAGCGTGAATTTGCCACACAGACGTGCATTGTTATGAGCGGCCACGAGTGGACGGATAACCTCATTGAGTTCAATTGAAAACACCGGAGTTAATGTTAAACAACGTGTAACGTAAGATAAACATAACATATGAACTAGTGAAGGCTGCAATTTATTTGCTCGATAGTTTAATATATATTTTGTAAAACTCTCACCTGGTTAGTACATTTATATATCATGTTTGTTTATGTACTTAAAAATGGGCAGTAAACAAATCAGAAAGTAAAAGTAATGTAACCTGATTACTCAACTTTTTTTGAGTAGTTTCCTCCATATAAAATGCCATCACAATACAATTACACAAATTGTATTTACTTTATTTTTTAATGCTATTATTATTATTATTATTATTTTTCAATGAAACAAACAATAGCAAGTGCAGTGGAAAATAACCAATAACAATTGTGTGACATATTAGTATGGAAGTTATGTGAAAATATATAAGATAATGTGTATGTATTAATTTGAATAGGTTACATTTGACAGGGACAGTGCATATACATCTCTGTAAATGCAGAGTACAGTGTACCTAAAAACGAATTAAATGTAAATCTAATCCAAAAAACGGATTGCTGACATACATAAAACATTACAAAACAATAAATAAACATGAATTAAGAAAACAACCAGACAAGTAAACAGATGCTCACACAGACAGGCATTTCTTACAAGCAAACCATCTGTAACAAGCAAATATTGGCCATTTCTAAATATGTAATGCCACATGTTAGGGTTCAGCTGAGCCAGTGTAGAAGGTCCATATTTAGGGGGGGGGCTTGCTTTACATAACATCAGTCTGTGTTTCTGATTTCGTGTGGAAGCCCACTGGCTGTGTTTGTGAGATCCTGCACCAAAAAGAAAAACTGCAGTTATCTGAGATGAGTTTAGCTGGAGTTAGACTGAGAAGAAGAAACAACATGAATGCTTGGAAGATATTACTCAGGGCTCAGCTTAAATGTATTTATTCCGGTGTAAGAAAAGCCTGCAGAGAAGTGGCTCTGACACTGTGCTCGACATTTGCTCTCTGTCAGGAGCAGCAGAGATATGGAGTTGGTAACTTTGAGACTTTGATAGCTGACTTTTAACAAAGCACTGCCTTGAGGGCAGATTGGGCGCTTCGGTGAAAAAATCCTAGAAATGCCAAGTGTGATTAAAGTGCTGCAGTGTCTCTGTTTGCGGCACAGTCATTTATTGAGACAAAGTATGTAGTATCTGTGTCATGTCACAGTGTTTATAATATCCTGTCTTACAAAAGCAGACTAATGGAAATATTAATTAGACCTAAATAGTGTGTCTGGTTAAATCAAATATTTTAATCTGTGCTGAAATAACAAGTTTATCAACAAAGCATACCAGCAGCATTTCAATTGGTGGATTTATTTTTGTCAAGTAGTGTATCACGAAGAAATGGCAAATATGTGTTCAATTATTTCATTAAGTATCCTTATTCTAAATATTTTTATTTTATTGTGAAATATTCTAATTTATTGTGTATAGAGAAAATGTCTTTGCCCATTTAGGCTATATATTGTTTATTTGAACTTTTAGCACGACTGTTTTTAAAGAGTCTTTATATATTTTTTAGAAAGCGACGGGCGATTGTCTCCGCCAGTCAAAGTGATCATCAATGGTAAGAAACATGCTTTTCTTTTGGTCTAAAGAAGTGTTTACCTTGCTTTCTCCTTTTCTTGTGGTCACATGAGTCAATGCTTTGGCCTCTGGTCTCTTTATAGTGCTCGAATGACAGTGGTTTTGTGGAAGCAGAAGTTCAGCAAATACTGATCTTTGAGGAAGTTTGAAAATGTGGACAAAGGACTGTCTTTTCCAAGTGCCATAAAAAGCAACAGAGTGTAGCATGAACAAAACGTAATAGAATATAATGTTGAAACTATGCAAAAAAAGTCATGTTGAAAACAGGCAACAAAAGGGCATAGTATTGGATGTATAACATATGCAAAAAAACGTCATAGTATAGTTAGTATGTTGAAAAAAGTCAAAGTCAAAAGACAACACAGAATGATTTTTCTGTAATTTATAACGACTTACTGCTGGTTTCTACACGCTGTACCGTGCCTTCCACATACAATCCCACGATTTATGTCTTTCATTTTTCGACATACGATGAATTTAGTCATTTATGTCGACATGCTATATGACTTTTCTGTCATTTTTAACGCCTGGTTTCTACACACTATACCGTGCCTTATTTTGACATAAAATCCCAGTTGACTTTTTGCGAAATGCTAATACTATGACTGAATGGCCTCCTGATCGCACAGCTTAATTAATTGAATACAGTGTAAATATGTGAGCGAAAGACAAAAAGAAGACGAGGCCTGTTACTTTAAACACGTAAAAGGAAATATATTTTTTTGAAAAATGAAATAACAAAAAATAACAAGAACATTTCATACATAAGAGCTGCTTTAGTCAATTCGCAGAGGTAATTTACACAGGACTTGAAATGAAAAAAAAGAAAATACACACACTTTACTTGAAGTGGAACAACAGCAGCAGCCGCCGCCACACTGCACTACACAGACCTTTTATTTAAAAATCACGTCGACCCTTCAGCCGGCTGCGGCGCCACTTCCGGCAAAGCGCGGAGAGGTTATGTCACATACCGAGCTTCTTTTGAAGGGTTAATATACACTGGCTCTTGGTAATTCACTCGTATGACGTACGCACTATTGAAACATTTACACACAAGAGTTACTTTTCTCTCCCTTAAAACAAGAATACTCGTTTTATATTTATATTTTTTTAGACGACAGTTAACAGTTCCAAAATGGCGGCTCTAGGGTTGGGATTTATCCCACCCTCACAAGGCCCTCCCTAACTCCCTGCCCTTCCAAAGAAGACATTCCTATGAAGACTTTATTTAAACAAGCATGGCTCACTAGTTGAGACAGAGGAAGGTGGTGCTCTGCCCGGCGGGGGTGTGCATAGGTGTTACAGACTCCTCCCCCGAGGCTCTGATAAGGCAGAAGATTCTTCCATCTCTGCCTTTTTATTGTTTTGTTTTAATTTCCAGTTCAAAAGTCACGGTTAGCGGTGGATGCAAGTGCTTTTCCTCATAGCCGATTGTGCCCCGAGCGCGGTCTTCCAAGTCTATTTGCCTTACGGAGGGGGAGTAAATCTAAAGCAGAACACGTCTTCTTCTTCTTCATTGTCCATTTTTTGTGCAAACAGATGTAAACAAAGACCGTCAGAGGATAGGAAGGAATGGAAGAAGAAGATACTACAGCAACACCGGGTGGGGGGTTGGGTGGGCAAGAGACAGGCACAGAGGGCCAGCGAGAGAGATAAATAAATACAGGGCAGGGGGGAGGAGGGAGGGAGAAACTGCCAAGCGTCCTGTGCTTTCTGCTTTTCTCACGCTTGCCGAGGGAGATGCTTGTCGCCACTGTAGCAGCTTCCGATGTGCTTTAAAGCTCGGCCTGTTTGTCACAGGGGCCGAGGAGATTGGGGGTGGGGGGGTCAGGAGATTGGGGGTAGGGGGCGAGGAGGACACAGAGTACCACTAGAAGAGCCTTTAAAAAGGTCAACACACACATACACACCCACATAAGACTTCTTTACGGTCATGCTCGCTATTGCCTTTCCAATACGGCCACCCGCCCGTCGATTAAAAAAAAAAAAAGTACAAAATATCTACCAACGCTGCCCTCCCCTCCTCTCCTCACCCCCCAGCCTTCAACTAGGACATATTCACTTAGTTTTTTTATCATTTATATATATATATATATATATGTATATATGTACACAACAATATGCCTTTGAGGCTGTCGATGGAGGATGGCGTCTCTGCATTGAGTCTTTAGTGTCTTCTCTGTTTTCCCCACAGTTTGTCTACAGAGATGGGTGGCGATTGAGGGGGGATTTGACCGCCGTGTAGCATCCCGATGGATGGACGGTGCACGCGGGGGGGCGGGGGTGGAGCTCGTTGAGCGCCTGTCAGTAGACCCAGGAGACGGGCACCCACTGGGTGGTGGTGGACACCAGGTTCACGGCCTCCTCCAGCAGGCGGATGGTGTCGTCGATCTCGTTGTTGATGATGGTCTGGTCGAAGTAGTGGGCGTAGGTGCCCTGCAGCAGCTCCGACTCCTTCTGCAGCCGCTGCAGGGAGTCGTCCTGGGGGGGGGGTTAAAGGACTGGCTTTTAGTGTTTTTTTAACAACTACGTGCTCGTTAGTGGCCATAGTCTGTGATTGTTCCAAAGACGGTGCATTTGACACTGATGGGGATTGTCGTACATGTATATTGGTACATTTGTGGGGTTTTTTCTACTGTAAGTGTATTGTATTGTCCTTAGAAAGTCCTATTTGAAGTTGAATTTCAAAAATGGCATAAATGTATAACTTAATGACTTTGCGTTACTTTAGGATTACCTCGATTAATATTATTTTAAGCAAACAAATAGTTTATTTTGTTCAATTGCATAGACATTTTTCTTTATTTTAAATAAATAAAGAATGAAAGTAGCCTAATCAGAACGCAAAATAAAATACAGGCAGTATCTATATTTATAAAACTTGAGTTTAAAGTAACATGGCCCCCTTTGTCGAAATGTCACAGTAATCTGATTTTGGTTCTGTATCTTCAGTCCTTAATCCTCACATGTAATCTGTTACTACCCAACGTAGCTAAATGTAAATCCTGTGAAAGTACTTTGAATGTATCTAGTTTTACGCTCTCTCCACCAATGCACCGAAGTGTATTTAAAAAGAGGGCTATGCAAGTTGCACTATTCAGCGTTTAAACATTTCTAAGTAAATCAATTATTTGCAGGGCTTTTCCTCAAATATTTGTGGCCAAACAAATCTAATTTCTAGTGAGATACATATCTCCCTAATATGCTGAAAACAAGGTTAACTGTTTAGGTAGGAACGTATAGCTACAATGTTTAACAATATTTATAACCTCAATGACCCGATAGCAATTTGGTACATGGTATGTAGTTACTCTGTAGACGGTGACAGTATTGCTAGCAGAGCGATTTGTAAATTAACACAAACACAGAGACCACACACGTTTCCAAACAAGCTCAACATCTAACCAGTCAGTACTCACAGGCAGTTTCTTGCACCACTTTGGAATCTTGAGTGCAAACGTAAAGGAAGCATGCAGAAGAAAGTACAAACATGCATTGAAAGAAATGTAAGGCAAAGCAAAAAAGCAAATTTAAAGCGGTTTGAACACAGCGAGGCACGACAAACGGAGCAAGTAAGTTAGTACGTGGAAATGAACGAAACGTGAGCAACGAACACGATACGAAACATCAAGGTTTTTAGAGAGCGTACCTCAGTCATGCCTGGGGTGACAGTGGGAGCTGCGACGAACACGACAAAGGGGGCAAAATCAGCCGTCCTGAGGATCTTCAGTGCCTGGCGAGAGAGGGAAGAAGCGATGTTTATTGATAGAGGGCGTGTTAGGCAAATGTTTAGGCCGATGCTGGTATTTATTGCGCCTCTACCGAGTCCTGTCGACATGCTCCAATGATTAAAAAGTGCTTTGTTTCTCCCTTTGCAGACCGTTTACATTCACAAAAACCACCTCAGGAAAGGGGACAACTCCAAGAAGGCCAGGGCCCCTCTGTTACCTGCGGCTCCACGTCCAGGATGGAGACCATGTCCTGCTGGTGGATCTGCCGGATGGTCTCAAGCCGGGTGCCGTACATGGCGTCCTCGTGGCTGCCGTACTCCAGGTAGTCGTTGTTGCTGATGTCCTGCATCATCTGGTCGTGAGACACAAAGTAGTAGTTCTTGCCGTTCTCCTCGTCCTTCTTAGGAGGCCGAGTCGTGTCTGAGCAGAGAGGGAGGGGTCGGGTGGGAGAAAATTAGAGATCAGTAGTAGTAGTAGTAGTAGGTGTGGCAGGAAACACTACCACTTTGTCAGAACCTTCCAATAAATACAGAGACAGCTATGTACAAAATATAGGACAATCTTTATTATAAGAACAGTTCATTGATAAGAGGAGAGGAAGAGAGGAAGCTAATCCACGGGACACAAGGAACCCCCACAATACAGTGTATTGTATTGTCTGTGCTTGACTTACGAGGGATGGGGTAAGCAAAGCGGTCGGGGTGTTTGGTGATGAGCGTGTTCTTGATGTGCCTCCTGCCGACTCCATGTGCACCTGAAAGATAAGTTGTAACTGTTGTAATACCATACAAATAATAATAACAGTGCGAGTAAGAATAGCAAAAAGCAAATCCAGAAATGGACAATATATAAAAGATCAAAATAGAGTTGCATTTAACTTCTCTTCTTGCTAATTGTGCTTTCTGTTCTTTGCCAGGGATGGTCCCAATTGAACAAAGGAAAGAAACCAAGATGGCTTCCAAGCAACACACAGCTGTCTGCTATCACCGAGCTCCAGCTCATGGGAATCCAACCACGCATTGGCTAAACCTCAATCCTCAAGTGTTGCAATCTTCACATCTCACAACTTACTCACAGAAGACAAGGACAATTGCTTTTAACAACTTCCACACTAATAAAGACAATATAAACGCTTGGTTACTTACCGAGCAACACTAGTGTTTTTCTTTTGAAAGACGGCACTCTGACCACTTCCTCGTATGTCACCAGATCTAGTTGGTCAAACACTGTGCGACACAAGAGGAGCATTAGTCTGGCACATAGTGTTAATTGACAAACAGCGTATTCGCACCCAACACCAGACTCCTGCTTTGTGAAGACATAGTATTGATATGCTCAAACATCACAAACGCTCTTGGTATTAAGTCAGGACCGCAAGCTAATGGCACTTCCCTGACAAGAGTGTAAACTACTTCTACTCGACATTTTTTAGACAACAAAATTCTCAGTTATGTCCGCTACAAACTCGACATTAGAACATGAAGGGAGAATTCACCTCAGGCACATAACTGCACTAGTAACAGTCAAGGATGGAAAAACTATTCAAAGGAATTCATCTAGCTGCACCTTTCATCACTAAATAGAATCCAAACAAATTATGCATATTATTCTTATATACTTTAAATGTTCATTATTTTGTATGTTTCAACTGTTTGGCCCAAGACCCAAGTACTCCATGCGCCAGACAGAAGATATCCAGTGCTAAGCACTGCCTCTGGAAATCAATAAAGATGAACTATAACTGCACTTTTCTTGAAGTTTGGATGTTTCTGTTTGTTACATCATGTCTTGTGAAAATACATTGCTAACAAAGACACATTAGGGACAAGTTTTCAAAAGCAGATAGAGGTAGAAAAACACAGAAGCTGGGCGCCAGCTGTCTGGAGTTACTTACATGCAGCCATGTCATTGGGTAAGAGACAGCATGAAATATGGACAAAGGGTGGGAGCGGAAGGAAGGAAGGGTTAATAAAAAAAGACACTGTAAAAGAAAAACCTCATTACACTAAACAAAAACACAAAAACGTGTTGCCGTCTAAATGTTACTTGAAACACTGTTAGTCAGAAGGCAGTGGGAGAGGTCTGTCAGAGGGAAATGCAACAGACGTGCAGCACTAACACAAACTCCAAACAGGTGCGACAGTAATGTTATATTTTCTTTTACCCTTACGTGGCCTTGCAAACAAAGCCCCAAAATCCCAGCTTAGGTATACAAATACATATATAGAGTCAATTAGCTTCCTTGCGCTGTGTGCGTACGGCAATGCTTACCTGCGTTGTGCTTGGCCAGGTACTTGTCTTTGTACTGTTTCTTCTTCTTACCAAACCAGGTGCAGCTCGCCTGCTGCTCCTGTTTGGTCTTCTCCATCGCTATACACGCCACGCGCCTGCAACAAACACACGTACGCTTTTACTGTACCTTACCTTTATAGTAACTCGTATGTCGTTCGGCATTAATGTGTGCCTTTAATTATTACCAAATACCTGAACGTTAATAATGTGTTGTAGTATTATATATATTACATAAAATAAGGGTTATGTAATGCAACAAAGAAAGAAGATTGTGGTAGTTAAGGTTCACCAAAAAATGGTGTGTAAGAAACAAGGCCTCAGAGTACAACTCCTTCTCACTTAATGGTGAACCTGGAGGTCGAGAAGCGGTCAATGTGATAGACCGCCTCCGGGCCACGTGTGCGGAAGTAAAATCATTGCAAAGGTTGTCAAAAACAGTTACAGGCACGTACGCGGAGAAATAATTAAACGGTAACAAGGTACGACAAAGAATTATGGCAAGCCGATTTAGCTTTTATTCATTTCTGGAGGATATCAACAATTATTGTCTTACTAGCAGAGGTGGGGGACTCGAGTCACATGACTTGACTCGCATATTTTTGGACTTGAGACTTGCTTGACTAACATTGATAAAAGACTTGACACGACACACAAAATCAAGAAACTTTAGTAACATTACAATATTTTCTAATACAGCATTTGTACATGATGTCGTTGACTACACAGAGGTAGATTAGGCAAGATAATAAATACATTGATACATTTAAAAAAAACGTATCCTTTATTTCACTACAACATAAAAACATTTTAAGGTGTGTCTCTCTCTTACCACTCCTGCAGCTCAGGCGAGGGGATGAGTCCCGCCGTGGCGTTCTTGGTGTTCTCCAACTTTCCCTGCCACCAGTTGTGGTCGTCCTTGGAGATGATCTGAATGATGTCCCCGACGCGGAAGGGGACGCCCGCCTCCTTGCACGGGATGAGGTCGTCTTTGGTAGGGTCGTACTCGAACTGAGCGCGGACGTAAATCTGTAAAAGTGGCAGAGTTAGCGGGTGACTCGGCGGCAAAGACGACAATGAATATGTATGGAGGGGGGATACAAAATGATCGGCCAAGCTGCCAACGTAAAAGGAATAAAAAATGCTGCACCCGAGCCCGTGGTGACAGAAAGAGAGGGCAAATCCACAGCGTGTGACCCAAAGCGCTGCACAGCACAGACAGTTGGAAAAATGAAAGCGGACCGCAGCTATCGAGCAACCTTTCTTAACGCGGCTTACGCACGCATTTTTGGGTTGCCTTTTATGACCACTGACACACCAAATAGCCAGCATGGGATCTACACACCACTACGATGGGGAACCGCACTTTGCCATGGGGATGGGAGGGGGCTACTTCTACAAAGGGTCCACTAAGAGACGTCTTACCTTGATGGACAATTTGTCCTTGATAGCAGGTCTGGAGATCTATGGGGTTGAGAGCATCACACACACTTACACGTATATCATGCTGAAGAAAACATTCGGCAGAGGGGCGTCAAGAAAATAGGATGTGGAGTCTGATAAATGACAGTGTTTCTACCACGTTTTAAAAAAGTACAACGGCGTGACAGACGCACAGCAACACAGACATAATGTCCTAAATCAACTGAGGAATGCTTTTCAGAGGACACGGACCGAGGGTTCCTCGCATTCTCTTTTCTTCTTTACATCTGCTTAATTGTGGAGGAATCCTTTCCAATGTTCAAGAGTCACGTTACTGCCTGACATTGGAGAACAAAACTAAATACATGTGATGGGAATGGAAGAACACACGAATGCATACTATACGTGCAGATCTGTTGCAACGAGTGTTAGTTGTGATATCGGTAAAAGGAAGAGGATTAAACAGTTGAATAAATTCAGTGTAAGGACTTTGGAAATCTCACCTGGCGGCCTTTGGGCTGGATCGTCGCCGGCAGGTCCTAGTTGGGATAAGACGTGTTTTTAAATGTAGTGTTTTAATAAATTGCGCACTAATAAAACCATTAAATCACACCAATGTTTTTATTTGAAAGAAAAAACACGTGCCACTGATTCTGGTGTAGCAATTTCAAGGTATGAAACTTCACAGCTGACACGATACCTTGCACTGTGACTGATATAGCTTTTATACGCTATAAAAACAATACATATTAAATGCTCTTCTTTGAACTAAGAAACCTACCAGGATGGAGCTGGTTACACTGGCGTGTCCATTTGCGGGCGACTGTCGGGACACATCTGGTGACTCTTTCTGCAACAAAAAAAATTATACATGTTTTATTTTTCCACCCAAAATACAATATGTTAAAGTCCATGCAGGTGTTTCTGAATCTCTACCTCGCAAGACATGGACTGGGACCGGTAGCTGGGCACAATCTTGAAGGTGATGCTACCCCTCATCTCCCTCTGTGCGCAAACAGTAAAGAAAGGCATGTTTCAGCTTTTATTACACACGATACAAAACAATAATGGAAAATAAACTACACACAAACTATCGTTAGCACTGTCGGCATAGTACGGCAGCTGCTGACAAATCCAAATGTTACGACACCTGCGAATACAAATACACACTAAGGCACAATAATGTGTGTGACATACCAGCATCTTCTGGAGCTGCTCGACCGTCTGATTAGCAACGCTGATGCCGTTTATCTCCCGGATCTCGTCTCCTACGTGCAGAGTCCCTAAAGCGGAAACGGAATACGTTAATAAAGGCTGCAGACGCCAGGACGCAGCCGTTTGGCCTCCCCTCTCAGGGAGCCTGACCCATAGAAGCATTTCAATTATCCGCAAGTTAGTCCCACCAACAGTTTCCATTATCCCTCTGATTCTTCTTATTTTCAGAGTACTTGGATAGGGATGCGTACCTTGTCGATGAATCATTCCACCGTGCATGATTCGAGCCACGATGCAGTGGTTCAGTTCATTCATTTTCAGAGTGATGCCCTAAAGGAGACAGACAGAGGGTGAGAGGGAGACCTGAGGGTAACCGTACCTTCTGTCAACA